GCCGGACGCCCTCCCGGAGCGCGGTGCCCACCCGGCCTCACCCAGCGCGGCCGTACCGCAGCGGTGGGACGGGGAGTGACCCGAGGCCCGCGGTGGGATGGAGGCCTTCGGCACCTCCGTGCCCGAACGGCGTTTGCTGTCCTCGAGGGGAAAACGCTGCTCTACAACTTAAAGGAAAATTTTTAAATGAATCTCTTTGTGGGGATAATCTTAAAGTAGTGTGCGCAGCAGTGTGAGCTTATGCTAAAGTTGTGCCGTGATAGCGTTCCCTGAGCGCTCATGAACATTAACTGGCAGACGCACTGTCGTGCCATCAGTCAAGGACGCGCTCTGTTTCATACTGCAACGTCTTCCTGTTGAGTAATAGCCCTGCTCCTTTCTGAGAAGAATAATTGTGCATCAGAGACTTGAATTAATTTACAGCGCACAGTGTTTGTTGACAGTATTAGTAATGTACAATTTCAAGACGTGATGAGTCTTTAAAAGCTTGTCAGGACCTTGAGAAAAGTGCATGAGTGGCTTATTTGTTTTGGGGAGGGATAGAGAGGTTATCCTGCTGTTTCAGCACGGGAACGTTCTCACTGAACCTTCCGCTGCATGTTATCGGGTGCCTGGGGTTGCCCTGAGCCTTGAGGTGTGCTCTTAGCCAAGGAGGACAGCAAATACATCAGCAGCGCAAAGTGCCAGGGAGCTTTGGCCCTGGCCAGCAGACTGAGAAGCCCTGGGATGACCAAGAAGAGGCAGCAAGTTGTCCTTAAAGTTGGTCTGCACTCCCAAGGCCAGGTAGAGCTTCACTGTGGACTACAGCCAAGAAAGCTGCCAGCTGGACGTCTCACATTCATGCCTTAACATCGCTTTCTGTGGCGACCCATTATGGATTTCTCTTTGGACTAATCAACAGGGATCAGAACCCTGACCACCAGCTTTCCTGACAGCACACACACACCCTTTAGGAATAAGCCTAGGCGACAAGATAGGGTGACAACTGGGGCATCCAACTCCACCATGGCTGAGCTCTAAACAGTATGTTAGAATCAAGAGATGTCAAGAACCATTTATATTTTTAAAAGACATATGAACTTCAGCCCAAAAAGTTTCAGTGCCTAATCTCATCATCTCATGCAAGGGCTCACATTCTGCTGCTAGAGACGGTGTTTCTTGAGTTTCTTTCTCCTGTGTAGAGGAACTTAATGATTTCTTCACCTGTGGCAGAATGAAAAAGAGAATTGAAAGATCACTTACTGTGGAGAAAAAGGGGTGAGTTGAATTCACTTGGGCTACATGCAGCTCAGGAGGGCTTGCAGCAGGGTGGGGATATGCAGTAATGTTTATTTCCCACTGCCTCCACACATGCGTTGTCAGGACCCTCGGATGGCCAGGGCAGCAGCCATAGCGGTGTCCGGAGCGTCATCTGCATTTATGGTCTCGTTTCCATGCTCGTCTACCTACTAGGGCCCCTCCACTGCAGAGAAGAGGTGCAAGCTCCTGTTAGCCAGCCAGAACAGGAGCTTGGTTACTCAGCATGGCTTTTTTTTAGCATGTTAAGTATTTTTTTGTTTCCTGGGGTCTGACAAGGCTTAAAAAAAGGATTTCATTCTGAAGCTCATTCTGGGAAGCTGCATGAATAAGCAGTCAAATACTTACAGAGCTGTTTCACTTGCTCGTTTGAAGCACTGCAAATAAAGAAACAGTCTCGTTATCTTTCTCATTTCCTGGTCATAGGGATATTTTACTAGTATCTTGCATGTATGTAACACCTTCCTTCTCAGCTGGCCCCATTAAAATATCTAGCATTTGATTTATCTACTGGCAGTCCTTTAAGCAAGAGGTAGTATGTCGCAGTTCTCTAACACTGTAAAGCAACATTACAAAGTGGCATAGGGTAGGAAACTACGGGGCATTGCAACAAAACATTACTAAATTTTTAAAAGAAATTGGAGCTTTCTGTACCGTAAAAATTTTTTCTTTTCGAGCCACAATTCCAAAAATTACAGTGACTGCAACCACCACGACAGCAGCAATAATGGCCTCCGTGGGAAAAACAGGCTTTTTATCTGTTAAGAGAGAGAGGAAGTTGAAGTTGAGTATCCAATAGATTGGTGCAGTTTTGTAAAACAAGTCATTTCACAGAACTGCGGAAAAGACGTATTCTCTTCCCAGAACTGTCAATGCTGATCTGAGCTGTGCTCCTGCTGCTGTGCACGGACTGACTGTGTGGATTAGTCACCTGAAAAGGAGGGAGCGAAGGGTATATTCTAGTGAACTAAAGACAGATCTGAAATTTCAGTCCCTGAGGAAGATCCCCAGGGTATTCTATCATGCATGGAAATAAGGATGTCCAGACATATCACTCACGCAGCTAACGTTGCTTTCGCAGCTGCTCCTATGGGCATAAGAGTGTGGAAATGAGAGGGGCTCAGCCAGTGGGGTGGCAAACAGAAGCCCTGAGTCTGGTGGGGCAATGATGGGTGGGTCTGAGATGTAGACCTCCAGGCTCTCCCTATAGTCCACAGAAGTACAGTCATTTCTAGAGGACAATTAATCTCTCCTGCCTTAAGCATCTCTCTTGACATGACTGAATACTATGGTCAGGGTGAGAAGCTTCGAGAAAGACCTGAGGTGCTCTAAAACACACTTGAATGTGCCCTGCGCACCTGGGAAGTGAGAAGGTGGGATGAGTTCGCTTCAGGTCACAGTTGCCAAATGCCTTTGCATAACAGGTAGAGCAGGAAAGGCATTTGCTGCTGCTGCGGTATCAGCCGAGCACAGGTGCAAGGATATCTGCTGCTGTTGCCTGTGCTCTCAGAAGTTAACATGGGGAACTGACTTACTGCTTTCCACTTCCACTTACTTCTTTAGACTGTAACTCGTATCTTCTTCCTAAGTGGATTGCTACTATTGTAAAAGAGAACAGAGTTATCTGTAAAGCTTATTGTTTAGCAACAGCCATGTTACCTTCGACTATCAGGTGGAAAACCTTTCTCCCCTCTCCCAAAGCAGATTTCACCACACAGGTGTAGGTCCCGTTGTCAGACTTCTGTACTTTTTTGATAGACAGCTGAAAGACTTCACTAGTCTGGTACACCTGGTAACGATTTTGCTGTAGGATCAAGGTGGTGTTGTTTTTATACCAATTTGTTTGACCTTGAGGGTTGGATTTGGCATTGCAGTTCAGTGTAACATCTTTGTCTTCTTCAGTTGGGAGGGACTCTTCTCCAGTAACGAGGGGAGGAACTGTTCACAGTAAACAGAGTTAAATATGTTATTAATAATGCAGCTCACCCTTTAACAGAAAATAAGTTCCCTTTATACATCAGTTGTGCACCTTCTTCAAATGGTGCAACACACCACAATTCTGCAGCCTTTCATGATTCCCGAGAATCAGCAGGGCAATCAGTGGCAGAGACAGTCACTCCCGTGGCTCCTCTGCCCTGACTTGTATCCTTGAGAAAGAATCTAGGTGGAGGCAGGGACACAGCCAGAAAATCTTACTTAATGGCCCAGCCACTCCCTATAAAAGAGGCATTAGATCAGGCCTTATGCACCACTATGGAAAGGGAGTGTCTTACCACGTGAGTTGTCTCATCCTAAATGCGTTTTTTCCTAGTGAACACAATGTACAATGGTGCAAAACACCCTCTCTTTAACTAGTGCTCAGTCACCGAGGCGTTCAGCCCATGATTTTTTCCACCTTGTCCATTCTGCAGAGATA